TAGCACGATACATTGCAAAGGAATAAAATTATTCCTGAATTACGTAGCCACTTTCAGAGTATCACACTGAGAAGTTATCATGCACACTTCTTTTAAGGATGGCTCCACACATAATGAAGTGCCTTCTCTGGATTAATGCTGCGGCACATTCTGGTCCACGCCTCAGGGCAGGTTCATCTCCTATCTGAGCTCATTTCAAACCACACTCTTCCTCCTCCCGTTACTTTAGCTTACTAGCCAATTTTTTGTTCCTAAGGCCACCAATCTGCCTCCAACCACAGACATTTCCAAGGCCGTCACTGCACCCGTACAGATCCTTCCCATCTTTCACAGTGCCAGTTTTTCGCCTGTGTCCAGTGACTGACTCACCTGTCTCACTGGGAACCTGCAATCTCCTTGAGGGCAGAGATCACTGCATTTGTGCTTAGCACTGCACCTCCAGAATGTGTCCCTGTGCCTGCCAGCAAACAGCAGGTGCTTAATAAATAGGTGCTAGGGAAAAAGTACTATGGGATATATTCAATGGTTTTGTAATGGTTCACTTCGTAAAGTGGATCGGCCAAAACTCATTCAAATCAAGGCTGAGGAAGGTGAAGGCTTAGCTGTTCTGTTTTTGATCAAAAGAGACAGAATTTTTTTTTACTGCTATTTGGTTTATAAGCTGGTTTCATTATAATAAGATTGACTAACAAGTTAAAAAAATTGATTTGGATAAGCATGAGGATGACCAATTTTAAACCATTCTTTTTTCTTTCCTCTTTTTTATACGGAGCTGATTTTCAAACATGGTTCAACCAAATTAGAAAAGTTTTTTACTTTATCAGACATGGTTTTAACAATTTGTCTATATTTTCCATGTAATCCACAATCTGATTATTACCATTTCCAGATAAGGAAACTGAGAATGAGGGAGGTTACATAGTTGCACACCAAGTAAGTGGCAAAGCAGATTTCTATCCAAGTCGTCCTGATTTCACAAGTCATGTTTTAAACTAGAAAATAAATACTGATGTTGAGTAATAATGTGCTGCTCCCTGCCACTCCAGCACCCTGTCTCCTCATCCCCCCAAGATAAAGTACAATGTAGTCTGGTACCACCAACAGGGGCAAATTATCCAGGGATTCAGAATAGTTCTGGGATGCCAATGGTGTGGTAGCAGGAAAACAAGACAATCCAAGAGAAAGGAATAAAGAGGAATATAAACTAGCATGTACTTCTTTTTTTTTTTTTTTGAGGGGTGTGTTTTTTTTCCAGACAGAGAGAGACAGAGAGACAGAAAGTGA